AGGGTGCACCACGTGGAGGTAAGTCTATCGCACACCCCAGGTCAAATATATAAATCTACGTAGTCACATGCAAAGTAAGAACAGCACTTTCGAGGGTATAGTATCTAAGTGTACAAAATTTTTCACTTCAATGATCTATGAAGACTCAAGATGAATGAAATTTTTGCCACATGAGTCTCATTCGCAGAGTTGCTTCCTAGTGGTCTTCACTAAGCGCATAAAAGACATTCCCTTAATTCCAATGAATCAACTTATTTCTTAATTCCCTCTTTATGCCAATAATGAAGATAATTTATTGGTTCAATATGAGGTAAATTCCAAGATGTGTAACTATGACAAGCATATGACTGAGAATGGGTTGTTAGTTTTGTTTGTAAATGGGCAATTTTGACTGACCTTACGCAACCAAATTGAAATTGGCATATGGTGCACTTGGTAACATCAATACTGTGATCTTTGAATTCATTTATCAGATGTTGAGTTAATTAACTTATTTGTCAAGTTTAAAAATACCTATTGCCTAAACTATGATCAGGTACCACCAAAACTAATTTCAGTAACATTGTAAATACGCAGAAGTGACTAAATGGAGTGGATGTAGATGTCATCTGTAAATACTATTAGTAATAATATGCTGCGTGCAGGTACTCTGATATTTACATTCTCTCGAACTTAATCAGAGTGGGGAAAAAGTGTTTCAAAGAAGTGGTAAATGATTCCCATTTCAAGAAAAGTGTTGTTAAAAACCCCACCGGAGATACCGTATTTGTAAATTTAATCACTGCAGCCACCACTCACTGTCAGGGAGACAAGCCGAAATTTATCCATTGTGAATGTTTCCTAATGTCACCAAATCGACTTGGTTGCGGATGCCCTCTCCCCCCCCCGTAGGGGAAAACCTTGAAGAGGCTATCAAAACATCGTTACTGCACCAAAGGCAACTCATTTCCACTTTGTTATTATAGAGACACATTTCAAGCTTGTTTAAACAAATGGAACCGCTCGCGCGCGCGCAGACCACGATAAATGACTTATATAAACTTGCCTATAGGCGAAATCTAGCTCACGGTGTTTAGCGTGCTCGTATGAATCACGTGGTCACATGTTAGATGCACACTCAATGAGTGGTTAAGTCCCTTTCTCCGAAAGGGAATATGATGTCGATAGTTTTGTATGCCTGTTCTCCAAATCGAAGATCTCAGTTTCCCTATTCGTGGGGCACATTGCGTGAACACAATGGTCAATTGAATGAGATAATAACGATAAAGAGAAGGACTATAATGAAAAAGGCCCTCTTAAAGTGTGTGTGTGTGTGTGTGGAAAGCGGAAAGTGACTCTGTTATCCATTGAAAAATTCTCGCCCTTCAGATCTTCCAAATGACTAAATGAAGACAACGGTTCTTTCAAAATATTGAAGTCGAAGATTCAGATGAGGTTGTGAGCATTCTGAACACCAACAAGGAACAGAGAGTAGGAGACTAGGAAGAGGAATTGAGACTTAGAGGGGGGGGGGGCTATTAGATCTGTGGGCGAATCGCTGAGGTTGAAACGTCCAAACTTTAAGTTCAACTCCTGGTACTGCTGACTTATACTCTCATCTAATCACTTAATCGAATTGCCCTTTTATGTTGCTACAAAGCTTTATTTCCTCCACCCCCCACCCCACCGGATCTCTTTGCTTCATGTCCATTCACCGTCTAAAACAAATCACTTCAGTGGCATGTGGAAATTGTTTAGTACTAGAGACTAATTGGGCATATTTGAGATCCCTTTGTCCTATGCACTTTCGTACAAACAAAGACACAGAATGTAATTAAATGCCAAAAGGGGTCGCTGTGTTTACTTAAATTCGATTTAAGCAGTTTGGTCACACGCACACTGAATTAGCAACTAAAATTGATTAAATTTATCTGTTTTCTTTAGGTACTGAATTTTGGGCTCTCAATTGTGTGATTCAACAATAAATGAGTGCTAGTTGCCGAGCCTGATGTTAAACATTATTATTTCTACTACTATCGAATCATGTGCACACTGCACTCTATGCCATGTAGACAGTTTGTAACGGAACCTGAATTTCACTATTATGCAGGCGTAGAAATAGGATTTGCCACAAGTGGCATTCTCGATCACCGGCAAATTCGCTTTGAGTCGCTTAAGACTTAAAGCAAAAGAAATAATTAAGGTCACCGGTTTGGTGGAGGTAAATTATGATGACGAGCAGAAAGGCTTGGAGGGTGTGAATTGGAGAAAGCGAACACCAAGCATTGCACAATCTGCAGTTAGCGCGGACAGGAGAGTTTGAAAATCAGTAGTTGAAATAGTTGAAGGAAAGTTGTACCAATTGTACTCGGCTTAGGCGAAATCCTATCACGGAAAAATTCGCACGGAATCGTTTAGATTAACAAGTGCTTCAAGAATACATTGGAGAAACATATAGGGAGTAAGTATTTAAACTAAAAATTAACTTCCTCCTTACAGTTTTTATTTTCAATAGGCAACTCGCCATCGAATCGACATCTAAGGTAAAGGACAATATATTTCAGGAGCAGCCTGTGACCACTTGCCGCTAAGAGGGCCTGGTGATTGGGAGGTCATCTGCAAAATGTACGCCATTCATCCCTAGGCAAGCGCTCTATTTGTCAGCATCTGCTAATGCCTGTCCAGGTGTAGCTGAAAACCCTGACGCACCTTTTACTGTATCGAAGTCATTTATGACTGCATTAGCGCCAAGGGGAGCACAGAAAGTCGGTGTGGACATTGGTGGGGATCGTGATATATACCCATTTTCATGGCTCTTGCCTAAGTTAAGGGATTGTGATCATAAATTCGATATGCCCTCTTACATCACCCCCCCCCCCACACCACACACCTCCTCTGTGCTTTTCGCTCGTCTTAGTTCCTACATCCATCATTTGTTCCACTCATAACGTGCGAATAATCCACGGGAACCTTCGAGATCCATTGGCTCAACTTTCAGATCCATTTCTTTAAGGTTAATGTATTTATTATTATGGGAGAACTTAATCACCTTTTTCAAGCACCCTGCCTATTAACAACTCAGTTACCTATTTACATTTAGGCAATAGGTCAAGAAATTGAAGAGGAAATATGCACCTTCTGTAGGTACGGCCCTAATTACCCGCATTTCAGTCCGGATTTCGTTTAATTAAAAATTCCCATTAGGGATAGCGTCATCAGCATTAGACGTAGGTAGAAGGAAGATATTCAAGATATTCACCGATCTCAAAACTGCTGACGTAGTAGACGTGGACGCTGATCGGTTCCCATCCTCCTTGTAATTATTCTACACATTTTACAAACACCAGACCGCTTTGCCTTTGTAGGCAAATAAATGCAGTAACAAAAAGAAAAATACAAGTTTTGAGAATGAATATAAAGCAGTGGAGTTATTTTTTTTAAATTAGCCCATGCTATTGACAAAGTGCTCAATTGCTCTCAATGTGTGATTGCTAAACGCATGAAAGTCAGAAAGTAGTGAATTCACATCGCGCTCTATTGTCGGTTCGAGTTCACTTATGTAATCGCAAACCCTCCTCCGCCTCACAGCATTCATGTGCAATATTTTGTCGAAAAGACTCTCCACTTCCTCCGTCGACAACACACTCTTCTCTTCTTCTTGGTCATACACCAAATCCACAAAACCTTTAATTTTCCATAAATTTGGGAAACGTACATTTTTCAGATTGTAACGCAACTTTTCCTTCATACTATTCGCGGGAATTGGCTCGTATCTTCTCATTAACCGATACACGCTTCGCTTATTCTCGTCGTTAAGACTGACAATTTTCCTTTCAAGTTCTCGTCTCTCTTTAATGGGCATAATTAGAGATTCATTCTTTGAATAATCTCTGCATTGCAAAAAATATCTTTCGTTGTGAAATTCTTCATCTGGAATAGAATCAATATACGCCTTCAGTCTGTATAACGTTGAAATTTGCAATTTATCCATCTCAACGTCAAATTCATTGAAACACGCCAAGTTCTCATTTCCTTTCAAAATTTTTGTCACCGTTTCCAATCGATCAGACGGTAGGGCGAGTACTCTCTCATATAAATAGAACTTCAAGTCGGAAGAAGCCGATTCTCTTGAATCCTCATCATCACTAAAACACTTTTTATACTCCTTCCAGAAGATTGCTCGAAGTTTCTCAATGTTCTTATCTCTCAAGCAATGACTTTCAAACCAAAATTCTGCATCAGCAGCCAATTCATACTTACTCTGATATTTCCCATTCTTCAATTTATCATGTATGGTTTTCAGATCTAAATTTGGAACGCCTTCTATATTATCACCACCACCACCACCATCACCATCACCATCACCACCACCAACACTTTCTAGAAATGCATAGCTATAATTCTGTAAACAAAAAAAAAGAATAAAATTTCTTAAAACTTACATAGTTCCTTGGATCAATTAGTTTCTTTAAAATATCTCGACAACATTGCAATTCATCAAGCACTTCCTCTGTTGAAAACATTTTGAAAACTGAGTCCTATTCACTTGTGACATCTATTTTATATTTAAATTTTAAAATAGTAGGATCGTTCCGAGTATTACTAATAAAATGTTCACAAATCTAAGTTAGCTAATGGGGTCTGCGATAGACATATCCTGGGCAACATATAGTCATATGCCGAAATGACTACAAACCGGCAGTTGACTTCTGACTTTAAACTACCATGACCCTACCGACTGCGTCATATTCGACCACTTCCACACTACTCACCTTACCCTACTCACTACCTTTGTGCCTGTCTGTCTCTTCTACATCTTTAAATCACTTTTCTGTTCCACTTCTCCACTTTTACTCACTTTGATGTTCCTCCTCCCCTCTGTGAAGATCGAAGCCAACTAAAGGCCTGCCATTCTTTGAGTAGTCTAAGGGCTATATTTGTGCCATATTTCAAATCCTTTTATACCAAACATGCAATTATCTGGAAAAATGTAACATCTGATTCAAACTCTCTCTC